TTTTTTTTTTTTATAAATAGGATCGAGGGGTCAAGGAAGATGAACTTCAGAGTATATTAAATTACCTACTTACAATGCATGAGGTAGGACATGGCCTGGGTATTCTATTTTAATTATTTTATTCAAAGCATTAGAATAAAATTTTAACTAAAGAAATATTGGTGATTCTTATTATGCAGGATGAAAATATTCATGATGTGTTACAGTTACTAGTGGCTTTAATGTCAGAACACCCAGCCTCAATGATACCAGCATTTGATCAAAGAAATGGAATAAGGTATGATTATATTAGTATTTTTAATAGACATTAAGTGAGTACAGTGTGCTTCTGGGAATAACCTCTGTTACACGAACTTTGGAATAAATATAACAAAATCTTACACATAAAAAGGGAATAAATGGAGAAAGCTGCTATTAACCCTCTAATACTCAATATAGAAGAAGTGTGTAGAAAATAGGTCTCAAGAAAAGTAATTAAATTGTTGCTATAGTAAAGACATTTCAAGTAGTGTGAAGAGTAAATTTTTATTGCAGTAGGACAGAAGAGAGCATGGTGTATTTCAACAAAAGAGAACACAAGAAAATTATGAGTTTAGACTCCAGGGCTAGATAGTTGCCAGGTTTGAAAGGTCCACAGAATGATAAAAAGTTCAGATTTTATTGTTTGTGATAAAAATTAAATAATTTTTAATGAGTTACTGGTTTTCTCCGATTTCCATTTTGTTAGCTACACAGTCAGCTGTGTGGAAAATGAGTTGGAGAGGGCCAAAACTGATGTAGCAAGATCAGTAGAGAGATGATTTTGTCAGTTTGAGGGATGATGAGCTAGGGTAGTGGCAGTGCAATGACAATAATATAGATGAAAGATGTTTTAGGACAAGATGTCAAAATCAAAAGAATTTGAAGACTTATTATAGTTTTTTGTTTGTTTGATTTTTTTTTTTAAAGATTTTATTGAGGAATTGGGAGAGGGGAACAGCAGTGAGGAATCAGGGAAGGGGAACAGACAAGTTGCTGTCCTTTTGTTCTTCATTCTAGTTGTGGAGGACATTGCTTCACAGGCCCATGTTGGTATTATCATTGAGCTCTTCCCAGGCGAGGCAGATCGGTCGCTGGCCTTTGGACGGCCGCTCACGGCAGCTCTTGGCAGCTCACACCAGCTGCCAGCTGCTTACGCTGGTTGCCAGCCACACACGGTAGCTTATGACAGCCCACTGCAGCAGGGGCTGCAGCCTACACCGTCGCTGGCGACTCACAGCAGCCCAGCTCCAGGTCGAGCTGTTGTTCACCATGTTCGTTGTAGAGGGCAGTGTCACTGGCCCCCATATGGGATCCGAACTGGCGCCCTGCTGCTCAGAGCTGGAGTCCCAAACCAGCTCTTACCCAGTGCACCACTCGGCAAGACCAAGACTTATTGTAGTTTAGTTATGAAGATTGTAGAGTAATTATGTAGACAGGTGAAACATAGTTTCTTGACTTATCCTTAGGAACTTAACCTATAATAGAACCTAGCCCTTTAGGAATTCTCCGTTTTTATTTTTCTGTAGCCTGAGTTGTTTGAATGAAGAAGAAATTTAAGTTATTCCATGTGCAACTCAGTGGAATAACTTCTATAGGCTATAAATAGAGTTTGGAAATAATATATCAATATTAATAATATCAACAACTCAGGCATATGAATTAGGATTCACCTATTTTATTATATTACAAATAAACATTCATTAACTTTTCTGTCAGTAAATTTCCTGTTCATACTCTATTGCAGTCCTGTATCTGCATCTTGTTTTGTAAGAAACACCTGTGTAATTGTGAAGAAAATCCTATGTAGTGTAGATGTTTGATGACTGGATGTTTTCATATATCAAATGTTAATCAGAACTTTTGTTTATCCAGGGTAAACACCTTTTTTTTCTCTAATGCAAAGTTATTCCTAGAAAGTAGTAATTCTGTGGGATTTCTGATTCCATATGAGTATAGCTTTTAATTTGGATCTCAAGATTATTTTTGCTGTTGAATATTTTTTCTGATGCTTTTCGGAATATTTCTTACTTGACATGTATAACTTTCCTATTTTCCTATTCTCATATTTGTCCTTTTTAATGATTGATCTTGATTTTTAAAAGTCTTGAAAATAGATTTCAGTGTAAATATATTCATTTAGGAACTTGAGGTTTTGAAAAAAATCATCTTCCAAGTGAAATAATCACTCCAGATTTTATCTTTATTCATAGTCTGCAAAAAATAACAACAAACCACAACCTATTATTTTCTTTTTTAATAGTATAAGCTACTGTGAAACATAAAATAGGTGTCACTAACTTAAGTTATTTGTTCCCCTTTGTTAATGTTACTGAAATGATATGAAAATTAAACTGCATCTTCTATGACCAGCTTTTATTTAGCCTAGATTATTTCATCTTCAAATTCTGGAATGACATTTGTCCATCAGTGGGGCAAAGTTGTAATGGCCACTGTAACGAGAATGTATCTTGACTGACAAATGAAGCAGGCAACTCCATTCAATATAATAATTCATTATAGGATAATTTACATTCGGGAAGATTGAGTCTGAGTGGAAGAGACAACCCAGCAATTCTGTGCGGATTATTCGCTGATAAAAACTGTTACTGTACTCTTTAAAAAATAGTATATCTCAGGTATAATGATTGACAAGTCAAAGAGACAAAGAATGCAGTAGTGCCAGGGGCCAGACCTCCTGGTGGTCCATATTGTCACCAGTTTGATATTCATCTGGGATGTCATCCTGGCCATTACTTACAAAACTATTTATGGTTATGTTGTTAAGGAACACAGATAATCATTGACTAGAAGGCTTTGATATGCTTATAAGGACAGTGAGGTTGGTCAAAGGTCACAGCATGAAAGGACACAAAGATGGTTTTTGTTCACATCTACATCTATATAACATTTTATTTACAAAAGAGATATTTAATATAATAAAACACATCCTATTTTTTATAATGTCACCACTGCCATCCTCAATGAACCTTCTTAAATTCTAGAATGAGTTGCAAAAAATATAGTTGCTATTGCCCTGCTACATTTTAGAAAAAAATATTTGCTTTTATTTTTTGAAAAAAAAAAATACGGGATAAAATTTCTAAAGACCCTACAAATGTTGTAGTGAATATGACCCTAGTCTTATATAGTATTTGAAGTGATTGTATAGGTTAAGTTAGGTTATGTGTTACTAGAGACTTTTTTGCTCCAAGTAACAGAAAAGTAATCAAACTAATTTAAGTAAACACATTAATGTGTTTGTTATAGAAATCTCATTAGGGTAGGAACCAGGAATTGGAAAGCTAATAGGAAATAAGTTTGCTTCCTCTGTTACTTTCTATATGTCTGCTATGTTCTTCCTTCTGTATATAGACTCGCATGTATTAACATAGCAAGGCTGTCTTATAGTTTCTATTTTAAATCATTTCCTAATTCAAGAGGATAACAAAGACTAGATATTATTTCTCAGACCTCATTCTGAATTCTAAGAAAAGGGAAATAATTGGGCAGGTCTGTGGTCCAAAGGTCATCAGATACAATCATTGGGAAATTCCAAGAGAAGAGGAAACATGGTTTTACTAAGCATGGATCTTAAAATAGAAAAATTTTGTTGAGTATGCTGGGAGTTAGTACTTGTGAACAACCAATCATATTGCCCTTTAGTATATATTTAAAGGCCAAGTTAAGAAAAATTAATAAAATATGCTAATTTTTCATTTATTCTAAGAATTTAAATTCCTGAGAGGTATTTTATGTTTTATATGTATACATAAAACTGTATACTTTTTAAAGTATACAGTTCTTATATTTTTAATATTTGTAGGAGTTTAAAAAAATCATTTATTTTTCTATTTTTAGGGTAATCTACAAACTCTTGGCTTCTAAAAGTGAAAGTATTTGGGTTCAAGCTCTGAAGGTTCTGGGATACTTTCTGAAGCATTTAGGTCACAAGTAAGTTGATTTTTTAAAAAAAATAATTAATTGTAGGAATATCTACTGAAATTGTATTTTTAGTAGTTTTTTATCTAATGTAACATGAAATTTGACTGCAAAAATCTTACAGTGAAAAATAATAGCTTCCTGTGGTAAAAGTTGTAAAAATGTTTTATAAAAGACTGTTTACTAGTAATAGATTATAAAACAACATCACAATTTCAGTAATATAGTTTATTCCTGTTTGCTTGTTGAAATAAAATATTGTTCACTTTAAGGATATATAAAATATTTCATCAAATAAAGTAAAGCACATATGGATATGATTTCATTGAAAACTTTCTTGACACAAGGAATACCAGGTATATTGAAGTATCCCTTAGAGCTGTTTTTTTGCTTACACTATGTCTGTATTTTATTATTTGTATTATTTTCTAACATTGGGGCTTATAGATTAGGTTTGTAATTTTAAAATCCTGGAGTATCTTTTTTTTCCCAAAGTCCAGAAGTTGGATATGTTAAAAAATCACGTGCTGATAACTATGAGTGTTTTTCCTACTGTGTTGTGCAGTGCATGATTATTCTTTTTAAAATCCATTGTATATACAAATGAGCCCAAGAAAGTAGTGCTGTCATTTGAGTATTGCTACTTCTAGATGGGGTTCCTCTCAGAGCCTCACCGTTGCCAATTCTTTTGGATTTTTAAATTTACCAAGTGTTTATTGACAACATTGATGAAAACGTCACAAAATCCAGATACAACATCTTTAACATGCTAAATAGCCTAGAAGAATAGATATTATTTTCATTTTGGTGCCAAATGAATAGTCAAGTAAGGGAGAA